TTCAACTATTCATTTGTTTAGATAAAATAGAAGTTATACAATTATAGTATTTGGTAGAAATTAAATTACAATCCGTGTGGGTTCGACATCCTAACTTTCATACTATATTACAAAACTTGACACCGTACACTTGCAGTATAAATTCACGTTATAGAAAATGCGTGGCACCCACCAAGCCACCACCTATAGATCCACATAGCACCACCTTCTGGCCACCCCGCATCCCCGCCCACCGGACTCCACCACCACTAGCATTGCTTCACTCTCCCCAACATCCTCTCCCACAGTATTGGTCACAAAATCCGTCGAAAACAACCACATTTGCAACCTAAAATACCAAACTGCCGTATATAACCCTTCATGGCAACCTCACTTTTGAAGCCAACCACGATCGCGCTCCACCACCGACGGTTACCCCTCACCTCGATGAACCTATACATGGCCTCACATCAATCAAACCTGCCTCAAATCATTATACTGTAATCTAGACATTCAACAGTGACGACGTCCATTTTGCCAAACTTTTCTCCTTCAACATCCCATAACACTAAATCCCTAAATTGGCATCAATTGAACCAACAAAAAACCCAAACGACAATGTGTATGAATCTAATTAAACCAATAATCCCCCCGCCGTTTCAATTTCTAGTCCAAAACTCTCCACGGGCGGGATGCACGGAGAGAGCTGTCTGACCGAAATTGGTGAGTCATAAGTGCTCCAATCTTCAAATTCGTCTGGGGGATTGAAGCGAGATTGGTGGTGGTGGAGTCCAATGGGCGTGGTGGCCGAAAGGTGGTGCTATGTGGATCTATAGGCCGTAGCTTGGTAGGTTGTGAAAGTGGTGGTGGTGGAGAATTTATGATTTTTTTGTAATTTTTAAAAAATTTAAGGACTATAATTGCAGTTGGTTATTCATCTTTTTTTTTTGTTTGATTTGAATAGGAGGGTAAAATCGTCTTTTTATTGAAAAATAGTTGAAATAGACCTTTTGCGTAATGAAATGTGGAAGGTATGAGTGAAAATGCCAAAAAATGAAAGGTAGTGGTGTTTCGCACGATGACATTGAAATGTAGGAATGTTCTGTACTATTTATCCAAAAAATCATAATAAAGCGAACCTAAAGAAGAAGAAAGAGATGAAGGAAAAAATTCAACTGTTTATGAATTTTAAAAAAAAACGTCTAAGCTTAAAACGATGCGTTTTATCTGAGCTTCGAGCCTAAGAGGTGCCCAGCCGCCGCCTAAACAAACTTTTTAGAACATTGATAATATTTGGGGAGAGAGAATAGATAAAATATTTTTATAAAATTATTTAAATAAGTTCAAAAGTAATTCCTTAATTTTATAA